TTGATGGAGTGGAGATAAGGAGATTATGGTTGTACCAGGATTTTCTGCTACGTGGCAAGTCGCTGTGGCTCCCATTATCTTTTATCTTCAAAATATTATATTACTCGCGTGACACAAATGTCAGTAAAAGTAAAATAGCAGTTTCAGTAAAATATATGTATAGCTAAATCATTAGTATGTTTTAAAGGGTAAAACGATTCTTTCTTTAATCATAAACTACATCAAAACTGTTATGTAGCGACGTTTTTAGCGGTGTTTGGAGAGTAAACGTCACAAAATTTAAACATATAGCGGCGTTTATAATCCAAACGCCGTAAAATGAAACTTTAGCAGTGTTTCTTTAACAAACGCCGCGATAGAATAGTAATTTAGCGGTGTTTTTAGCATAAACATCGTAATAAGGTTCGTTTATAGTGGTGTTTTTCCAACAAACGCCGCGATAAAGAGTACTTTAGTGGCGTTTTTAGATAAATGCCACAATAGGGTTCATAAATAGTGGCGTTTATTATAAAACGCCGCAAAATACTAAACTTTACTGGTATTTTTTTGTACAAATGCCGCTAGATACTCGTACTTTAGTGGCGTTTGTACAAAAATGCCGCTATAAACTGATATATAATGGCATTTTTTGAAAAACGCCGCTAATACCACGTACCCACTTTATCCCAATTTACACGTTGAAACCCTAATAAAAATCACATTACGTCCTCAAATGAGTTTTGTCCCACATTCTTCTTCCCTTCACAAATCTTTTTTCCCTTCGGGAGAATGTCCGAAATAGCTATGCCTTCTCTCCATTCACGCTCTTCTCTCTCTGACTTACCTTTTCTATATCTCCTTGAGATAGACCTCCGTTGCATTGCAATTTACCTTATCTCGTTTTCAAGTTGGGTTGCTGGAATCAAATAGTAGCTCCGAAGACATTGTTCATTATGTTCTTTTGTAAGTTCCCTTTCCCCTTGGTGTTGTAGCTTCATAAGATAGAATTAGGGGCTGAATATGCTGACTTCATGTACCCAATAAGAGATTCACTTATTTCAGTACTACATCTATTAGGATTCTCAAAATTTATAGTTTATTTTCTCGTGTTTTACTGTTTATGTTTCCTTTTTCTTCTTCTTCTTTGGTAATATGTGCATGAAATTCAGTTTCTTATTCCTTTAGGGAATTGGAGAGGTTATAGGTACTACCTAAGACTTAAGAGTTTACAGGTTTAATGAGGATTGCATATTGCTCCTTTTGAAATAATTGTATGTATTTGAAACATTAGTGCTCTAGATTTGTTTTATGTGAGGCAGTGACCCTCCTGTTTTTTTATGGGATATAGGTTGAGAATGAGGTTTATGTTATTCAAGACTTATCTTTAGATGTAATGTATATGTCAAATAATTTTATTGTGGTACAAGTACAACTTGATTGCATCTTTTCCCATCCCTTTTTAAGGAAAGAGAAATGATTGCATATGAAATAGACATTCTTGTTTACATCTAGATATTTTAAAAATGTTAAGGAAAACAAAAAACCTTGTCTTCCATGTTTGAGCTATAAGTTGTAAAAAAATTAGTTATGTCATTAAGGTAAGAAGCTTTGTGATTGGCTCCTTTAATATTAGATTAGATTGTTTAAAACCGTGATAAGTGTTGATTTGGTAACTTTAACATATGAGATACACAAAGAACCACACTCATAGTTATGGTAGTTATCATTCAGTGCAATGAAAGGGCATAAAAGGACACTTTTACTTCTTATACTTTATTTTGGGTAAAAAACTCTCAAATCGATATCATCCCTTGCACAAATGCACTCAACAAGCATTATTAACAACTATGCAATTAGCCGTCGAATGGTGAATTCTACTTGCACCGGATAAGCTAGAAAAAATTTCTTTTGAGAAATTGGTTTTGTTCTTCTCTTCACTATCATTGTGTTTTCCACTTTCCAGTTCCTTATTTTTTCTTCTCCTTGTAATGATTTTTTTTTACTTTAAATATGATTGTAGGTCCATCATTAGCCATTTCCCCTGTAAATTTATAGTTTTCATGTTCTGTATCAAAATTGAGATGATTATATTATTAACTCATTGCCTCCTGTTTTTGTTCCCAATGATTAATCATTTCTTTTATTTGACAATCATATAGGAGAGTTTAAAGTACAAATTTTTGGGTTCATAAGGCGACATTGGTTCATGGGGCCATGAGTATGTGAGGTGAGCATTTAATTGGTTTGATAAGATATTATGTTTTATTCTTTTGGTACTGGAAATTTTGTATAACCAGTGCTTCATTAACTATTGCTAGCCAAACCTTTTTCAGATCATTGATCACGGTTTACGCATACATGTCTTGCTAATCCAACTTTAATTTCTAGAATCCTTAACCCAATGATTACCTATGCGACTTTTTTCCTTCCCATTTTGCTGATGGAATCTAGAAAAATCCTTAACACAACATTATATTCAGTTTGCGGAATTTGTAAATGCATTTCAGATTGCACTTTTCTTTGGCGACCCGCGGGTTTTCTTCTGTTATGTTCATATCTTCATTCCTCATGGCATATTTGAGAAACTCCCTTCTTTAGATATCAATGTGTGTTTCATTTGTGAATTTTGTTAGAATCAGCAATGTAGAAGTCTTGTTTGTTTAGGAGTCTTTTATGATAAGAAAAAATAAGTCTTAGGAGTCTTTGTAATCTCTATTTCTATATAGAATTTTATCTTTAGCATAAAAGTCCTATTAAAAGTCATTATGTGGGTTTATTTAAACTACTGTATTCTCCTAAATTCAATAATCATTATCTCTTCCATTACCTCTTTTATTCTTTCCCTCTCATTTGGTTTATTTCCTTAGAATAAAATATATTTTAGTTGCCATTGCCCTCAAAACTGTGGTACTGCACTACTGCTGTTATGTTATCATTTTTTTGTTCCTTGTTTAAATATTGTTTTCCTTTCAATTTTAAGTTGTTGTTTTGACATGTGAAGAGTTATGCTGCTCTCTTTTTACTTGATTTTTATCATGAAAAGATGTATCATTTATGCCATATTGTTGTTGCTTTAAGTTAGTGACTATGTTGGAATTGCCTTGTTAGCAGATCCCACAACTTCTTCATGCAATTTTAGTTCACACGGTTGGAACTTAGAAAGTGTTACCAAAAGATAATATTTTCTCTTTCATTCAAAGCCTTCTTGCTTATGAAGTTCTATATAATCCAAGCTTGTCGCAACATTCTACTACAATTAGTGTTTTTTCCTTGACATGATGTTCTAGTTGTATTTCTCTGTTTATTCCTTGAAATTGTGTACTTGTTGTATTTCTCTGTTTCTTCCTGAGATGCTATAGTGCTGCACAACTATGTGTTTTGGGACCGTTACTATGTTGTACTAATATTAGTGTTGATTCTGGAAATGGTCTAGTGCTGCACAACATTCTATGTTGTATTTTAAAGATGGTATGAGTGATGCACAACTATGCAGGTCTCACAATCTTCTGTTCTTAACACATGCTTTATACCGAAATCCATGCAAAGCCAAAACCAAAATTCAAATCAGGAGCTATTTGTGAGTCAACTACGGCGTTGAATGTGGAGCAACGTAACACCTCGGTTCTGAATGTTGAGCAGAAAAATGCAGTAAGTGGTGCCGGGTTATCGTTGAATGTTGGCCTACATGGGTGAACAATATTTTTTTTAATTGAAAGTGAAAGAACCTAGACTAAATTATAGAGAATAATGTCAAACATTACATTTAATTGTAATGTTTATAAATTTTAATTTATTTTGTTGTTAAGTAATTTTCTGCATAATGTGTCTTAATTAAAATTTATGGTTGTTGTTAATTAGATAAAGCTACATGATATTAAATTTAGGTGATGTATTGCATAAATGAAATATGCAAAATAAATTAAACTAAGCTAAAAAAGAAAATTAGCGGCGTTTGTATCCCAAAACGCTGCTATATATCTGATCTTTTGCGGCGTTTGTTCCAAAAACGCCGCTATAGATATGACCTTTTGTGGCATTTGTTCCAAAAAATGCCGCTATAGATCTGACCTATTGCGGCATTTGTTCCAAAAACGCCACTATAGATGTCATCCTTTTGCGGCGTTTGTTCCAAAAATGCCACTATAGATTCATCCTTTTGCGGCGTTTGTTCCAAAAACACCGCTATAGATCTTGACTTATTGCGACGTTTTTAGTTCTCAAACACCGCTACCTTTAGCGGCGTCGGTATTGATGGCGCTTCTTGCGGCATTTTTCCTATCGTCACAGTACTTTTAGCGGCACTTAAAAACGTCGCTATAGGACTAAAAAAACGCCGCTAAAAAACAATTTTGCTGCAGTGATAAAATGTTTAAAATAATTATTTTTCATTTTAATTTTTGATATTAATATATTTTTCCAAAGATGCAAACTACGCGGATGCAGCGAATGACACAAGTGGATTGTGGTAAAGCTTCGCCTCTCTCGTCCACTCAATTTTCATCACAATGGATGTGAAATTTATGACAGGAAAGTGGCAACCATACACGAAGTCTATGACCACCGTTGAACTGGAAAGTGGCAACCATGCACGAAATCTCTGGACGGATTACAATCTAAAGGGCTTGTTTCAATGGACAAGAATGTTTATCTTGCACGATCCAGTTATCTCTTCTTAAAACAGCCTTGTAAACATGAGTTTGGTCTCTGAATATCATCTATCATCAAGGGAAAGTCCACATTATTATTATGTTTCAATTGATTGTCTTGTTGACTCTGGTATGCTAACTGAGCTTTGCATATTCAGTTTTGTCTGGTAAGTTAGTAATTTATATTCATGATGAAAGAAGTTGAAGAACAGAACAAAGAGCATCTGAGCGAAATATATATGTAGAGATATTATTGATTAGGGCTAACAAACAACATATTCGGTCTTGTTACTACAACATGAACGCAAATCATAAAGCATTAAACTCATTCGGGGATATAAACAGCAACATATCCCTCGAGGCCAATCCAACAAAAGTAACAAACAGAAGAGAAGAAAAACTAAAACCCTGCAGTTTCAATCATGTTCTTTTTTAACCAACGACCTCTTCCTCCTTGTGGGTCTCAATGGTAACATCACTCGTCGGGTAAGCAACGCAAGTGAGAACATAGCCAGCATCTAACTGGTCATCGTCAAGGAAGCTGTTGTCAGACTGATCCACAGTACCTTTAGTGATCTTCCCAGCGCATGAAGAGCAAGAACCAGCCCTGCATGAGTATGGAAGATCTATGCCCTTCTCCTCCGCTACGTCCAAAACGTACTCGTCATCTGGGCACTCGATCTCTTTTGTTCCATCGGGAGTGATCAGCGTTACTTTGTATGTTGCCATCATTGTAAGGCGGCCTCGTACCTGGGGTTTTAGCCCGAAAAGAGCCTGCCTGAAGCTCGGGAGGGAGCTTAGGCTCGCCACCGGGTGACTGCGGACGAAGGAGGTGCTGACCATGGCGGTGGAGACGGAGGCGGTGGAAGCCATTTTCAGTTATTTCAGACAGGAGAGCGTATGGTAATAACTGTATAAGGCTAGAGTGAATTTAAGCATGGAGTTGTGTTTAAAAAGCGAGACAAGTGCTGGAGAATGAGTGGTGAATAAAATGAGAGGATGTTGTTGTAGGTAGAGTTATCTGCCACGTGGCAAAACAATGTCTCGTTTTCTTTTTATTATGGTCCGTCAATTAATTTGGGGAGTGTGGTTGCCATTCGCCATAATCCTCTCCCTTGGCATTTTGTTGAATAGGAGAAACAGAAACCATGAGCTACTACTGATCAGATTTTGGAGCAAATTATAATTTTGGTTCTTTTATTATGTTTAAATTTAAATTCTAATACTTATTTTTAATTTGCCATAATTTAATTTTGTATTTTCTTATTGTATATAAAAATGTGTTGATACAATCGATCAAGAAGAATGGCCAAAAAAAGGAGGTGAATTGGCAATAAAAATATTTATTAGAAACTTTAGCAAGAAATGAAAAAAATGACACAAGGATTTTAGAGTGGTTCAAATTTCTTACTGAAGTCTACATACACTACCTTAACTTTCTAACTAGGGATTTCAACAAATTCACTAATTTGATCTAACCATTTAGGACAAGGTGTAACCTTACACAACACTAAGACTTATACCCTAAAGTCTTAAGTGTCCAACCCTTCCTAAGAAGAAATTACAAATTGAGCAAACTTTGAATATCCTCACAAAGATAGATTGTTTGCAAAATGAAGTTCTCACACACACCCAAGAACACTAGAATAAAATTACAATGAATGAAATAGTATTCAATGAAAGAAATACACAAAATGAATATGAATTTGGATCTATTTGCTCTTTGATTTTTGAAATAGCTTTCTTGTCTCCTCTTGTTTGTTTGAAGACCTCTTTTATATGCTCTCATTGATTTCTAGTTGTTTGAGGTAGTTGGAGGGAGTTTGGAGCCATTTGAAGCATATAATTCACGATTCACGCATTAAAGGCTACTTGTACTGGAAGTTTCGAAACTATGGGAAAAGTTTCAAAACTCTTTGAAAGAGGGTTAAAAAATATGACCGTTGAAACCCAAAGTATCAAAACTTCAAGGAAAGTTTCAAAAAGTTTTGAAACTCTTGTGAAATTTCAAAACTCCAAAGGCTCATGTTTTGGAAGTTTCGAAACTTTTGGTCAAAGCTTACTTAAGGAGATGATTTTTGACATTTTGAGAAAGATATAACCTTGAAAATTATTTTGAAGTGTTTGAATGATATTTTTGACATAATTTGAACTTAAAAGACTTATTTTAAAGATTTCACAAATTTAGGGACTTAAAACATGTTATATTAAAATAATTTAAGTTTATCAATCTCCTCCTTTTTGATATAACAAAACATTTTTGTAAAAATTTTCTTGATTCAAAACTTGTCATAAATTTGTTAAATTATATATCATTCAAAACAATAAATTTTTATTTAACTCCCCCTTTAAAAAAAGAATTTAAGGCTATAAAATTTTTAATCAAAAATTCATATCAAAAACAAAAATTTAATCAAGAGTGTTTTTGATATTTTTCTCCCCTTTTTGTTAGGTCAAACTCATTTAGCTACAAAAGAAAAAAAGAAGATTAGAGCATAATAAGTCAAAAAATAATCCAACAGATGATAAAGTCAAAAATATCCAAAATAAATATTCAACATATAAATTCATAAAAGTGTAATAACAAAAGCATATGTAATAAGCAAAATATCTGAAATAAACAAAACATCCAAAATATAAACTCCTAAAAATCCAAAATAATCAAAAACATCCAAATGCAATAATATCCAAAAAAAATTCCAAAAATCCTAAATGTATACTGAAATGCTAAATAAAAGGAGGATCAATCCTCATCATCTTCAATATCATCATCATCATCCGTATGAAAAGGATCAGGGGAGAATAAGGATCCGGGAAACGAGCCTTCAAAGACCAAGACAAACATCAATGGCATCGAAGTAGTGAAAGACATCATCGAATCTATCAGCCATGTAGTCATAAAGTGACTCCAAAGTGACGGAGGACGCGGAGGAGGAGCAACATGCACGACATCAACTTTGGGAGCTTCTCTGGCTTGATTTTGAAAAATGCAAACCCATTCACTAGTTATGAAGTCATACGCAATTTTGTGAGTCGAGGTAAGGTCGATGGAGCTCGAGAGGGGAACGACGATGCCATGGGAAAGATTAACCCAACGTTTGGTTAAGATGTGATTAAGAACACAAGCGTAAGGTAAGGTACATTTAGACCCTAGATCCTTAGAGACGGTACTGACAAGCTCGGTAAAGATAATATGAGCTAGGTGAGGATAGGTTTATGATAAAAAATGAAAAATCCACCAATAGTCTAAGTCTCTTATACTAGTGGCTTCTCTGCCTAAAGGGTGGAGAAAACAAGTGAAAAAAAGGTACAAGAGACATTATTCAAAACCTAAAAGAATAGGATTGTGACCTTGAAGAGAACCAATGGCAACCAAAGCATCCTCATTGAAAGGACCGTCACAAGGAATTCCTAGGTCATTGGCAATGGTTTGATTGGTAAGCTCGATTATATTTCCCATGAGATAGGATTGAATACCAATGACTTTTTAGGTTTGATATTAAGAAGGAATATTGGGATTAGGTTCTTTATGAAAAAGAACCACAATACAAAAGAAAGTTCAAACGAGATTTGGATAAATGACATTTAGAATGCGCATTAGGTCGAACCACTCCCAAATGGTAAAGAGTTGAAGAAAACTAAAATTATAAACAATGGAGAAAAAGAAATCTTCATCAAATTTACATTTCGGTCGGATAGGTTTATCACAAAAGAATTGACGGAACCTACAACGACCTTCGTTGGATTCAAAATAAAACGGTTTGAATGAGTTAGACATTGTTGTTGATTGACTGACTCCAGGACATTTTTTTGGAAGTTTTGGGAGCCATTTGGGATGAAAAACAGTGGTTTAAGATTAGGAAAATCCGTTGGGTAATTTAATCTAACACTTGGTGGGTGGACTTAAAAATGAGGGTCCTAAGAAAAATTGACAAATGGATAACCTTCCTATGACAAAAACATATATATAACATCAATTATCAACCCAATTTAAAAAAAATTAAGAAAATTTCTGCACAAAATATGATAAATTTCAAAACCCTAAGTTAACCAATTTTTCAAAATTCTGAAAAAATAGAGTTCATAACTGGAGTTGGAAGTTAAATTTGACTTTTCAATGGTCTAATTAAGAAGTTAGAAGCCATAGAATTGGAATTAAAACATATTGCAAAGTTGGTTTAATTCTTGAATTACATATGAGGAAAAGAATTTTGAAGCTAAAGATGGTTTATATGGATATAAATTGGTTTAAGCATGTGTATATGAGTTGAGAACATGAAGGGGTTGAAAGATGAAGAATTTGAGTTGATTTGAGTGGATTTTCGGGCTTAAAAATTAATTATGGGCTATTGCATCGATGCACATCCGAGGTGCATCGATGCACATCCGAGGTGCACCGATGCATCAAGGGTAAATTTCCAGAAATTGTTCAGAGTGTGTATCGATGCACTTCATGTGCATCGATGCACCCATTAAAAATGGAAACATCGAATGAAATTAATGCATCGATGCATAAGGAGTGCATTGATGCACATGTTAAGGGATGCATCGATACACTGTAGAATGCATCGATGCACGTCAAGGGAAATATAATTATACCTTTCTTTTAGTCTAAGAAATGATATATTAGAGTATATCAATTGGATACTAATATGTATCAATGTATGATTATATAGTTATAGAGCACGAACAATTCCCGGAGTGATTATCAAGTTATGATTCGATCGCAAGAGAGGATATTATAAAAAATTGATTGGAACTTAGTGAGGCCAAGGTGAGTGCGTATTATTTTATATATGATGTTTAATGGGAAATAAGACTTGTGACAAGTCTAATTTCTATAGTATTGTGCATTAAGCATGAACATGAACATGTGTTTGTTATGAGTGTCTGAGTTATGTGTTATGGTATGTATTGACATGTTATTGTATATGTATTTCATGGTTGATGTGAATATATGTTATGTTATGATGATACGATAAGAAATTATATGAATATAAAAGAGAAGTTATGTGATAAGATCATTGAGATATATAGAAATGGAATATAAGATTACACGAATACATGATATGGGATAAATTAGGTAATAATATGGGAATATGGTAAAAAAAATGAGTTTAGAAGAAATGATGGGAATGAAGTACTCAAGTGTAAAGGTTATATAAACAATAAGAATGTGAGTTGGGTAAGTGAATAGTGGTATGAATTTATGTGAAATAGTAAATAGAATTATCATTGAATGAGAATTGAAACAAGATAGATAATATTGACCTATATGATGATATGAGACTTGAACATAAGTGATAATAGAAACATATAAGATGAGTTAGATGGAAAGATACATATGCTTAAATAAAATTATGATATATGGGTTGTATGATGGAAATCTACGTAGTCATATTAGAAAGTTATAGGTACTATATGAATTGAATTAGGTAAATAGATTAAATTAGTATATAAATGAAATAATAGAAGTGACATATGTTTTTGAGTATGACAGATGTGATATGATCTAGTAAATATCATAGAATGAGGTATAAGCTATATGATATGAGATAAGTTATTATACATATGATATAAGCTATTAATCAGGACATATGAGATTATGAGAAGGAGAATATAAATGATGTGAATACAAGTATAGGAAAAATATATTATATATATATATATATATATAATATATATATATATATATATATATATGAATATGAATTATATGAATACACATTTAGATGATGAAATGGATTATATGAACATGTGAATATCTATATATATAGGATAAGACATAAAATAAGATATAAGCAATGTGACAAGAAATGTGAAATAGTATGAAAAGTGAATATGAGCTACGTGATATGTGAAAGTGATTTACGTGTTTATACGTATATGTGATTCAACTTATGTGACATAATCTACGTGCTATGTGAAAGTGAACTACGTGTTTATGTGAAAATGGGAAA